AGCACTCTGGATGCACTTCCAACACAGATCTGTTTTCAATATTCTCCAACACCATAACTCAAATGCATCAATTCTTCTACGGTCTTCCTTATTTACTGTCCAGCTTTCGCATGCAGAGGATTGTTGTTATGTGACGTGGAGTCGGTTCCGATCCATAGCGACCCTGTACAGGATTTCCGAGGCTGTAAATCTTTACGGGAGCGGAAAGCCTCATCTTTTTCCCGCGGAACAGCTGGTAGTTTCAAACTGCTGACCCTGAGGTTCGCAGCCCGATTCTTAATCACTACGCTCCTTATGAAGAGGATTAGATGATGCAAAATGTTTGTGTTCCTCATTGATTTCACAGAATTAAATACTTTCCTTGAAGAGTGATTAGTATTCTAGTTGCCGGAAGAACAATATAGTTTATATCTACGAGAACATCTTTATCCAAGCCGAAAGTCTATACGGAACCATACATCCAGTCTTCGTTGTTGCGACTTCAGTCCTCGGATCCCGAGGAAAAGAAACCCCGGACACTTCCCGCAGTGCATGCTGGGAGTTGTAGTGCTGTTCCTCAAGGTGGAGGCGGGGGATGGCCGTGAGGTCATTGGTGGTCGCCGGGAAACTCCAGCACGTGGCGGGGAAGGGGACGCAAGTGCAATCTGTCTGCGCCGGCTAGCGGCCGTTGCTGCTGGTCTTCGCACCTCCGCTGCAGTGCCCACCCGACATGCCCGAGGAGGCGGGCTTCCCCGCAGCCAAGAGATTCCGCCCGGGCTCCGGGCCTCCGAACCGCTCCGGGTCCTGCCCTCCTGGGAGGCGGGTGGTGATGCTGTTGACTGCGGGCGGCGGCAGCGGTGGAGGAGGCCGGAGGCAGCAGCCGCCCCTGGCCCAGCCTTCTGTCAGTCCCTACCGCGAGGCTGTGGAGCTTCAGCGCCGGAGTTTGCCCATCTTCCAGGCTCGGGGGCAATTGTTGGCCCAGCTCCGGAACCTGGACAGCGCGGTCCTCATCGGTGAGTTGCAGCGCGGGCGGCGAGCTCTTCCCTCCGTTCTGTGCCTGGCTCTTCTAGAACACCTTTTCTGAGGTGTTTTTTTTTTCTTTCATTCGTTTCTGCAACAAACCTGAGTGCCTTTTTTTGTGCCAGATCCGGAGACGGGTCTCAAAAAGGAGTCCGACTGCCCTTTCTTGGAGGCGTTCGCAGTCTAGTGGGAGGGACCGACGTGTGTAGAGACTTAACCTTCTGTGTGAAAGGGCTACTGTAGAAGGAGGGGCGTACCTGAATTTGGGGAGATTAGGAGAGTGGGTCTGACCCAGTCTGGAAGGAATGGAGGAGTTGGTGGTCCTGGTGGTCCTTGGGCAGAGTCTTAAATGTTAAGGCTGAATGATGTGACAGAAGGGAGGCCATTCATTCTCCGCAGAGAGGAGAGCCAGCGTGAGAGACTAACTGGAAGCAGGGATTATCTGGTCTGATGGGCAGTAAAAGTTTCAGGTGCCTAAACTGAGAGGTAAAGTTGTGGGGCTGGGTCTGATTGCCAGAGCTTTTGATTCTTAACTTTCAAGGATGGACAAAGGAGCTCTGATAGCGTAGTGGTTACGAATCGGGTTGCGAATCTCAAGGTCAGGAGTTCGAAACTACCAGCTATTCCACGGGAGAAAGATGAGGCTTTCGGCTCCGGTAAAGATTTACAGCCTCGGAAACCCTGTACGGGGTCACTATAAGTCGAAACCGATTCCAGGGCACATAACAACCTGCGAGGGACGAAGCCCTAATAGCATAGTGGTTTATGAGCTGAGCTGCTAACCCCAAGGTCAGCAGTACAAATCTACCAGTTGCTCTGCGGGAGAAAGATGAGGCTTTCTGCTCCCATAAAGATATACAGCCTAAGAAACCCTGTACAGGGTTGCCATGAATGGGAACCGACTTGTAGCAAACAACCACCAGCAGGCTAAGAGACAGAAAGATGAGACTTTCCACTCCTGCAAAGATTGCAGCCTAGAAAACTCTATCCAAAGGCTGAACTTCAAAAGGTAAAGTGACCCAGGAGAGATAGTGGTCAGTTGAATCGAGAGTTATAAAAAGAAAGGAGTGAGCATATGCAGTAATTAGATCCAGTAAGATAGAGACCAAAAAGAAGCTCAGTGAATTTAGACTAGAGGTACTGATCTTGGATTCCACTCAGCTGTGAGGGGAGGAGCTGACTAGTCAGGGACTCAGGAATAAGGAGGGGAGGGAATGAAGGCAGTGGGAGCAGGCTTGTGTTTTGAGAAAAAGGGGGTGGGTTGAGAGGAACTTACACATAATCATAGGCTGAGGGGAAGAATGAAGTAGAGAGGTTGAAGATGGCAAAAGTGTACTGAAAAGCAAGGATTGAGAGGCATGGGGAGGAGGAGTGCTTGGTGACAAGGTTAGATGCTGAGCTGGCCTGGAATAAAAGGAAGGATGTCTAAGAGGTTGTAGGGCTGGACAAGGGAGCTGTGAGAGGGCATGGCTGAGAAAGCTTGTAGGAGGAGGTTGGGGAGATCATATGTATTTAAAGACTGCTTTTAGCAATGTTTGGTAGCATTCCCTGCCCTGTAAGAGCAGAGAAGATGCACAGAGAGAGACATTGATCTAAGTTTGGGATTTTGCCTGCTAGTTTCAGCAGGAGGAATGCAGAATAATGAAATTCTTAGCCTGTGATTCTTGGCTAGGTCAGGGAGGATGAGTAGTCAGTGAAGTCTGTTGGAATAGGAGGAAATGCAATAATATTGGCAGTGTAGGATTCTGTGGAGTCAGAGATGTAGTGACAGTAAGGGAGAGGAAGGACTTACAAGTTTACAGAGTTCAGTGTTTTAACTGTTGTTGTTGTTAAGTACTGTGGAGTCAGTTCCGACTCAGTGACCCTGTACAGGATTTCCGAGGCTGTAAATCTTTACGGGAGCAGAAAGCCTCATCTTTCTCCCGCGGAACAGCTGGTACTTTCAAACTGCCGACCTTGAGGTTAGCAGCCCGATTCGTAACCACTATACTACCAGAGCTCCTTGTCTTAACTGTTAGATGCTATCAACTCAATTCTGACTCATAGCAGCCGACATGACGTGGAATAAAACCTTTGCCTGTCCTGCAGCCTCCTCACAATCATCGCTATATTTGAACCCATTCTTGCAGCCACTATATCAATCGGTCTTGTTGGAATGCTTCCTAATTTTTTACTGACCCTTTACTAAGCATTATAACCTTCTCCAGGGACTTGTCCCTCCTAATATAGTATATGGGAGTCCTGGTATGGCGCTCTGGGTTAATGCGCTGGACTGCAAAGTCTGTTTGAACCGCAAGGTCGGCGGTTCAAGCTCACCAGGTGCTCCTCAGAAACCCTATATAGGGTCACTATGGGTTGGAACTGACCCAACCACGCTTAACAGCAACAATAATATGGTATGTGAGACAAAGTCTTGCCATCCTTGCTTCTAAGGAACATGTACTTCTTCCAAGACAGATTTGTTCATTCTTCTGGCAGTCCATGATCTATTTGATATTCTTCCCCAACACCATACTTCAAATACATCAATTCTTCTTTGGTCTTCCTTATTCATTGTCCTAGAGTCCTGGTGTGGCACCGTGGGATAAAGCACTAGACCACAAGGTCAGTTTGAACCACAGGTTGGCAGTTCAAACTCACCAGCCGCTCGTTGGAAATCATATAGAAGGGTTGCTATGATACTTAAAGGAGTTCTGGTAGCGTAGTGGTTACGAGTCGGGCTGTGAGCCTCAAGATCAGCAGTTCGAAACTACCAGCTGTTCCATGGGAGAAAGATGAGACTTTTTGCTCCCGTAAAAATTTACAGCCTTGGAAACCCTGTACAGGGTCAACATGAGTCAGACCCAACTCCATAGTACCCACCACCACCATGACACTTAACAACATTCATTGTTTAACTTTCGCATGCATATGAGGCCACTAAAAATATCATGGGTTGGGTCAGGCGCACCTTAGTCCTCATAGTGACATTTTTGCTTTTTAACCCTTTGAAGAGGTTTTTTACAACAAATTTACCCAGTACAATACATCATTTGGCTTCTTGACTGCTGCTTCCATGGATGTTGATTGTGGATCCAAATAAAATAAAATAAAATCCTTTGGCAACTTCAGTCTTTTCTCCATTATCATGATGTTGTTGCTTATTGGTCCATTTGTGAGGATTTTTATTTTCTGTACATTGAGGTGTAATCCATATAGAAGACTGTATATAGCCTTATCTTCATCAATAAGTACTTCAAGTCAGCAAGCAAAGTTGTTTTATCTGCATATTGCAGGTTAATGAGTCTTCCTCCGATCCTGATGCTACTACATTCTTCCTATTGTCCAAGTTCTCAGATTATTTGCTCAGCATACAGATTGAGAGGATATAATCCTGAAAATTGAAAGATTGGAAGAGATCCGTATTTGTGCCCATTCCAAAGAGAGGTGACCCAACGGAATACGGAAATCATCAGACAATCTCTTTGATATCACATGCGAGTAAAGTTTTACTAAAAGTAACACAGAAATGGCTGCAAGCATACATTGACAGAGAACACCCAGAAGTTCAAGATGGATTCAGAAGAGGCCGGAGAATGAGGGATATCACTGCTGATGTCCGATGGATCTTGGCTGAAAGCAGAGAATATCAGAAAGATGCTTACCTGTGCTTTATTGGCTGTGCAAAGGCTTTCGTTTGTGTGGATCATGACAAACTATGGACAACATTGCAAAGTATGAGTATTCCAGAACACTTAATTGTGCTCATGAGGAATCTATACCTGGACCAAGAGGCAGTTGTTCAAACAGAACATGGGAACACTGGATGTTTTAAAAT